AAATAATGCTGCTGAATTTTACATAATCCATGAGTTTAGATATGTTTGTGTCTTGGTAAATGTTCTTGGACTGCATGTAACGTTGAAAAATTTTAATGTCTTAGCAGCAGAAATCCTTTAAAAACTTGGCTGTATCTTAATAAAAAATTTACATTCGTAAAGGATTCTTATCAGTCACAGGTCATTTGGCCTTCTCAAATGTCTTTCTTACAAACATTCAAGGTCAGGTTGGACGGGGCTCTGAGCAACCTGATCTAATTGAAGATGTCCCTGCTCACTGCAGGGGGGTTGCATCAGATGGCGTCCCTTCCAACCCAAAGCTTCCATGATTTCTGTGAGGACATACAATGAAGAAGCATATCAATCCAGAAGCAGATCAGTAGCATCAGTCACGTATTCTTAACCAATTAATGACACCTGATCTCTGGAGAAATGGCAGCACACACACAAACAAGCATACAACATATCGTCCTGTTGGTATTGCCCTCGTCAGCATGCAGTGGTCTGAGTTTTATCACTGTATTGAACATTCATTGTCTTAAAAATTCACCAAATAATTGTGTAACTTGCCATGGAAGCCTATCAACATCTCAAAACCCTGACCACACAGTTAGCAACCATGCTGAATACTGGGCAGACGTGATGCAATCCTGAATCCACGTATAATTAAATTACTGAAAAAAAGGCAATATCTTTCGTTGCAGAGAATATGCAAGACTGTCACATCTCGGATGTAAAACACATACCAGACTGGAAATGCTCCATATTTGGCAAGTTCTAAGATGAAGGCTGTGTTTTAAAAGTGAAGTAGTAGAAAGAAAGAAAGGCAGTGTTCTTTGTCCTTGAAAAGACATTTGTACCTCAGAGCCTACATATTAACTTAAAATCACTGACTGCCATAGTGCTAGCTGATGTTAATGATGAATGCAGATGGCAATGTTTGCCACTGACTTTCTTTGATTGGAGCAATCATGTGCAATGCTAATTAAGATGAGATTATAGATCTCAGACAAGAGCAGTTTTGAGTACACTTTTCATTGAGTGAAAGATTTTGTGGCTGAATGCTCTACAGATGTTGATTACTCCATTAGTAACTGAAAATGATATGAAAGCTGACTTCAGTGCTCTTTCCCAAACATTTCAAATTAAGAACCAGGTTTAAGTTGATAACATAACCGTATTTAAGCTTACAACTTTGATAAGATTGCTGGCTCTGTAAAACATACTTTTGGAAGTTGGCACTTGGTCGAGCTATAAAACAAATGGAGATCTTCACTCTAGGCACTGTTGTATGCATGTAGGAGCTAACGTGACTACCTTGGGCAATAGAGAGACCTCGGCACATTCATCCTCACCTCCTCCTTTCAGCTCTCAGGCTATAAGTACAAATTGCATCTCTGCGTGACCAATTACAAGCTCTAGTTTTACTTTTTTAAGAGGCTGACATGTCATTTCTAATTTTCTACCTGATGAACAGCACCCACTTCTGTTTGCGCTCAGTTTTGTAGATGTATATAAAAATAACACATCTGCATCTGTTGAGTGTCAACGAAAGTGATACAAAATGAATATGGTCAGACCTCTCATTTGGGCAGGCCAGGCAGAAGAAGATGCAAATTTTGCTTTGCTGTTTCATGGTTTTGGACAATGACAGCCCAGCCTTCCAGGATACCATACTACTCTCTGCAAGCACTGAAACTTCCATCAGAATCAAGTTCAGCTCTTAGCCAAGTCTATTTGATCTATGCAAGCTTCTTTACCCAGATAACATACTAATGTATGTTACATAACTTCTATAGGTTCTGCCATGCCGTGGGGAATATCAGAGGAAAGGCTAACATGTAGCAGCATCTTTGCAGGATATTGAGGAGAAGACATAAGCAACCCAGTCCAGCAAGAGACCCACCCTAACACACAGCACCCATCACCCCTCTCTGACACATGAGGACCATGTCTTCCTTTGTTAGAGAAGGACCAGCACGATCAGGACCTGACTGCTGTAACTCCCCCAGACAAGTACTCTTCCAAAATGAGATATCTAAAAGAATCAGCGAAGACATGTTATTCAAACCAGCCAGAGGGTTTAACCTATGAAGACTTGTCACAGTGCCTCTCTGTGTGACGAGTTAGAGGTACCTCCACACAATACAAGCACACATAGTGTAGACACTGGAGAGTATCTACACTATGTATAGTATCTATGCCCCCCTGTTAGCAGGGCGAAAGAGCTTTCTGAACTTGCTAACATGACTGTGTTACAAATGATTTAGTCCCAAACAGGATTCCAATTCAAATTCACAATTTATTAAGCGAATAGAGGCAAGCAAACAGCGCTGGGTGCGCCGGGAGTCTCCGCTCCACCAAGACGCACGCGGTACAGTTCCTGTTCCTGGTTTATATCCTGTCCGTTAATACATATTCATGAACAGGCGTGTCTTCTTGGGCGCATGCCCTCTTCTCCTTCTAGAATCTTCTCGAATCTTCCTCGGCGTGCCCCCGGGATGACCCCAAACCTTATGCGTGCACTTTACAAGTTTCTCTTTACACAATACTATGCGGTCAGTGGTCAAACTGGTTTGAGCTGATATACCAGCAAAATAGTTTAACTTTCTCCTGTAAAATACCCCTTTTTATGGTGCAGGAGAAATCCGTAAAAGCACAGAAGATTACACTTCATCACACGACTCAGATGCACATATTTCACAACTGTATACTTTCTTATGGCTGAGTCTGCTTACTCATGGGTTGCTTGGGCAGTTCTTCAAGGCACGGAGCTGTAACTCACTTCTAGTGTCTTTTACCGCAATTTTAAAGAATAATAATCTCAGTAACTTTACAGCTTTCTAATGGCACTTATCTGACAGGCTTGGATACTAACAGCTTCTCCTTTTTTATTCCACAGCCGAGGAAAGCGCACCTTAAAGACCAGTTCTTCTTCTTTCAGATGTTTTATATCCTCAGTTAGCTGCTTGCTTCCACTGTTCAGCCCTATTTGGATTATATAGGACAAGCTCTTAAAAAGGCTTTCTCTGTGGCAGTAAGGGCCTTTTCTCCAGTCAGCTGATTAAGTCTACTTTTGAACTGGGAAAAGTCAATTTCTAATAACAAAGAAAAATAGTACCCAAGAGTCGGGCCCCATGTTGGGCGCCAAAAAGGACTGTCATGGTTCAGCCCCAGCCGGCAACCAAGCCCCACGCAGCCGCTCGC